AGACATAAAGGTGCAGTCGTATGCTTGCTTTCTACTAATGACGTCTTGCTCACAAGTACGCATTGGCAGCTGCACACTGCATTTCTAGAAAAACTAATATAAGGTTGCACTTCAACTACAAGACTAGTTATCTTAAACAACTAGAACAGATCCTCTAAAAACGAAGGGAACAAATCACTGCAGCAGATTTGTTCCTAAATTTTAGTTTTACCAAGTAAGGTAATACTTTTTCTTCCATGTTACCAAGTAGAATAATAGTCCTGAAAAATGAAAATGAAGATCTGAGGATAATCCTGTTTGGAGGGACTTGAACTTTAACTGGATAAAATCGTAATAATACAGATAATCTTGATTAAGATTATACAGCAAGTTATCTTTAGATAGAACTTTCATATAATGCACCTTTCCGTTGTATTAGGATATCCTGTTTCCTTACAAATGCTGCTTGTCAGTTTTTTCATTTCTTGACTTAAAACTGTTCAACACAGGGGGCAGCAGTTTGCACAACAGATACAGCAGCAGAATCCAGAGCTCATAGAGCAACTGAGAAATCATGTCCGGAGCAGATCTTTCAGTGGCAGCACTGAAGAGCATTCCTGACTTAAAGGAGGCATGTGAATTGGAATGGTATATAACCCCAAAATGCATACCATAGTTAGTAGCAAAAGCACCATTGTAACTCTTCTGCTTGAATAGAAGACAGAAAACTCTTTGTGCGTGTTTGCAAACAAGAATAAATCTGTTAAACAGATCTACTGCACATAACTTGGAACATATTGTTTATGTATAGTTACTCCTCTGAAAATTAATACACTAAATAGGTGGTTTATTAAAATCCCTAAGTACATATCCTTTTTGGTATGTGCATTAGATTGATCTCCAGGGCTACTGAGTGGGGAGGAGTTTTGTAGTGGGCTGATCTTGTGTAACAGCTTAATTCTAAAATCCTAGTGTAAAAGGCGTGTTAATCTTATGGTGAAAATTATTGCAGTACTCCCTGTCAAATATTTAAACAGTAGATCCATCTGATGTGCTCTTTTATAATGAGCATAAATCAGTGTTGGAGTATGGAGTGTACTTCAGACTAATGCTTGAAAAGTCTGTTGCTTCAAGCCTGGGGAGGAGCTGTCATTAGTAATATGAAATACTTTTCAGCTTCGTTCGGCAGGAGGGAGGGTGATGACTGAAACGGAACTTGGCTTGTGAAAGACTATTAAGTTCTAAGCTTTTCTACTGTCATGTATACCCTCAAATAATGATGGTAGCCCTGGAGGTCAGCATTATGGCACTGTTTTCCTAGGCATGGCAAACTGTATTACATTCCATATGTATGCAGTATTTAACATAAGCTTAAAATTCTTAACTGTAATAAGCTAAAACTGATCCTGTGACTGTACAAGTAACTAGTACTGAAAATTTATCAAAAAATAACTGTATAAGAAAGAAGGATTCTCTTTCTATTCTTGTGTGTTAAATCACAAGCTTAAACAATTAAGGATTTTTAAGTTTCATTACACATATCTATCTTAAGTGACAATTATATGGCCAAGTTAAAGATTTTTCCACTATATTACTTCTGTTCCTACCCTGGCTTTTCTTGCTCAGTTAATCTTACTCTTTCAGAAACCACTGCTTTTCTGTATTTTTATTATGATAACATTTTTTATTCTGCTTACTGTTGACACTGCTTTCTGGTACAAGGTACACTTGTTTTTACTCCAGGGAGTTCTCAACACTCACGCTTTCCTCTGTATCAAAACTAGTTTAAGGACCCTGCTTTAAGACAAAGTGACCTTTTCTGGCCAGTTGAGTGGAGAAGGTATGTGGAGGAGTAACAATAGACTCCCAAATGGAGAAATACACAGGAACTCCTGAACCTACAGACATTGTATCTGATTCATCTTGTGGTCAAGAAAAGAGCACCTCAGGTAGAAACAAATGCCAAATTTGGGGCTAAGTCATGTACTTTACTCTTAACAAATGCTAGTTATGCATCTATTGTATGAGTCTTCCCCTACTAAAACAGGGGAGGAATACAGCTGGATCCAAGGAGAAATGAAAAGAATGGAAGAAAACACAAAACCAGGAAATCTGTATTACCATCTGTTGAATAAAGAGGTAAAGTTTAATAAAGCAACTTAAACAACTTTAAGACACTTCATACTTTATTCAGTAGGGCTTGCCTACACACAACATTAAAATGCTTTTTAAAATTCTCTGTGGAAAGATGCTGTAGCTGCCTTTTTGATGCTGTAGAGATACCTAAGCTTTACATTAAATACATTTCCAAGTAATAGCTTCTGATTTAACATCTGATGACAAGAAAGTCCCTAACAGGATCTTTTTTCCAGAGGTAGTTCAGATCCTGATTGAATTCAAGAAAACTCCTATTTAAGTTCAGTTACATTTAATAGGACAGGATACCATTTTACAAGAAAGATTGATGGAGGCTGTAGGTGGGCTACAACTACTGTACAAACATTGCTTGGAGTAGTGTGCTGTGTCAGAAGAGAACGTAGGGTATCTCCTGCTAAACTTCACAGTTCCTCTTACTTATATCCTGTATTTTCAAGTGCTCAAAGTGAGTTTTCCTAACTAACTTTGATAAGGGGAACCAGTAAATCCAGGGTGGACTGGACAGTACTGCACTTTCTCTCACACTCAATTTATCCTTATTTTGTGACAGCAATCTTCATGTGGTCAGTTACCTTCGTACTTTAAAACAGAAAGAATATTAATAACCTCTTGAGACTTCCTTAAGAACTACAAAATACGATAATATTCAAAGACTGGCTGTCAAAGTTGTACTGTGAAGTATAAGCCCTATAGCTTACTGGATTTATGGGACAATTATCCCCAAGGTTAAATGTAATGAAGCATTGGTTAATTATCTGAAAACTACTCTCGAAATCATCTTTATAGAGTGATAACTTTCATTCCACATACTACAATATTGTCATGTTTAGGTTTTACTCCAGTACAGGTAATATTTAACCAGAGTATTTATTAGAACATTGATGGCATTAGCTAACCCTTTAAGAATGTGTTATGACTGGCACAATACTTAACTTGTAAACATTCTTTGTTTCTTGTATATTAACAGAAGGGGCTTTATAGCCTAAATAAAAAAAAAAAACAGTGAAACCAGTAACAGAAGCTGTCATTACATGCTTTTCCATTGAAACCAGGAACAAAGAGATTGTTTATACTAAAGTCTCTTTTGCCTTGAATAGGCTGGATTGTTTCAGAATCATGCAATATGTCTTAATCACAGGGTGAGAATGGAATCTTTTCCTGTGTAATAACTGCACTTTTTTTTGCACTAAAATTTTTCATCCTGCTAGAGCAAGTGGTAAACCCCAATCCCCATTAATAGTGCTTTAATTTAAGGTCAATTGCAGTTGATCATTCAACTGAGCAAATATGCATTTAACACCTAATTGGTTTTGTATATGCTGATGGAACAGTAATTATAAGTGTGATAGCTGTTAAAGAAAAGATTTCACACTCAAATTATAAATTCCTGTAACCTGCTGGCATGGAAATACATTCTTCTAATTATGCCTGATCATAAAAACACCTAATGAAATAGCTTAGAAATTGTTTCAGTTGCACTTTCATTTTTTTTGGACAACTAAAATTACTCACGCATACTGAGCAAGAACTAACTTTGCAGCTTTGGATCCATACAGTTTCTGGGCTACAGAAAGTCATACTGGCAAAATGCAACCTGTCTACCATTTATGTATCTCTCCTACCTCTTGTTACCATAGGGTTACATCTTCTTCAATTTGTGTCAGTCTAACTTGAAAATAGATTATAAATAAAGTTATTTACACTTGTGTGGATAGTTGTGGTTTTACTGGTTTAGTTTGTTGATGTATCTAGAGAAACAGGTAAATTGCATTCTTTACCTGCTAATGTTGCTTGCTCTGCATTTTATTAGATGTGTAGGATATAGGTGTTTTTTTCCTGTATGGACTCATTCCCTTTATTTAGTAAGCTGGTCCTAAATTTATCCAATATTTTAAAATTGAATTCTATACTTAGGAAAGCCTTAAGTAAAATACCGTCAAAACTAAGGATGTTAAATGCCAATATGGTAGCTGAGAAATACAGTAAGCCACTGAGTAGAATCTTTAACATTACTTTAACTAGTGTTGAACTAGGACAGCCAGTCACCATTTTCTGTATTGAATGGCTACCTTTAGGTGACCTTTTTCAGCCAAAAATATTTCCATCTTTTGTCAAAAGAAAGCTAGGGAAAAAGTACATTTCAGTGCTTAACCAAGTCCTGAATTCCTTCGTGCAGATGCTTTGGAGAATTTAACCAGGGCAGCCACACAGGGTTTCTCATTTCTTTCTCCTAAAAATCTGCTTAAATGCCTATGGCATGGGAAAAATAATTTGCACCGCCTCAGTTTAACAATAAAAAAAAATGCCTGAGTTCAGCTATTTTAGTTTCCAGTTCCCTGCTAAGTGGGAAGTAACATGTCTGTTCACAGCATGCCCTGTGTTGCAGGGACAGCACAACAAGGCTGCAGCTCACTGGGACAGATCTGCTGTATTACTCCTTTCCAAAGACTGAGATACAACCAGCACATTCTTTGGCTGGTACTCTACTTCCTAGCTGCTAGCCCCTCAACAGTGCCAGCTGCACTCCTCCATCTTGCCTTTATCAGGCTCTAGTTCTTATGGCTATGCAGGTACCATGCAAATACACTGCCACATCAGGTACACCAACGTGTTTCCGTTACAGGTCTAGATTCCAGGAACTTTGCTGTAGAAGGCCAGTTCCTTCAAACTGAAGCAGTTTTGTCAAAACCACAATTTAAAAACTGTTTCAGTGTTTAAAAAAGAACTAAACAACAAAAGTACAAAGTGCTACTATTTCGTATCAATCTTGGCTCCCTGCTCTGAGATGGTGTTAATGAAGTTTAATTTGCTAGAGCTATACTTTTCTCCAAAGGCTTTATTTTCAGCTGATAAAATGCAGGTGCACGTTTTTTAAAGATTTCAAGAAATGCTTAGAGAAATTAAATAAGCATAGTTATGTTTATAGATATATATAGGAATTTAGTTTTGTTTGTAGGCATTTTAATATGATTCGGCAGCAAAAAACATCAAGAAGTTGGTCCAAAAAAGAAGCCCAGCAGAAATACAGAATTTTTTCTTCAGCTTTGTTTGACTTCTGAAGAAACTACACAGACTTGTGCAATATCATCATACTCATATGTTCTCTTCAAAAATGTGTCTGTAAGTCTTAAGCCAGAAACACTCTAGAAAGGGAAAATATTCATAAGAGTTATTAGAAAGAATTACTGAGCTTATAAAACAGCAATTTTACTACAAAACTATGCTATAAAGACTTACTTGCAATCCCTGCACTGAAGACAACAATGTAAGTGCAAGATGGAGGGATGAACTTGGGTGCAGCTTTCCAAGTTGCCTTCCTGAAACTCCACACCAGTGGATGGAATTAGTATTGCACATTTCTAAAACCAGATCCATAGTCCTTTCACTGCTAGAGGAAATTGAAAAACAGGAGTAAACCTGTGGGCTTTTTCTAAGCATTCAAGGACTGCAGACATAAAAGCTTGATTGTTTATTATTCTGGTTATTATTAATCAAGCATTTAGAAAATAATTATAAGGTGGCAAGCAAGATTTAATGTGATGCATAGTAATTCAGTTGCATATAGCTTTGTCTGACACAAGCATTCCATCATGGGTTTAGCAATAACTGGATAGCACAAGATTTTGGATGGAGCACAAGATTTTCCTGAGAAGTATCAGCAAACCAGACACATGCTTTAGTCCCTGTCTTTAACTTCTATTCGGAATTATTTTATTTGTCACTTTTGCAACTCTTTTATAAAGGGCTACCATAGATCCTACTGTAAACAGAAATCAAGTCAAAACATGAATAAAGACATACAAAAGACTACTACATTTAGCAGGCATTCTAGCAGTGGTGCAGAACTAACGGTAAAACCAGACTGAATACAAATGGCATCATTTATTCTGATAAAATTACTTTTAGTTATAAGAATCCTGTATATGCATTCATTTCATTATTCGATGAACTAAGAAGAACTAGGACAATTTGTGATATAAGTATGGGGTGCAATCTTAAATGGTATGGCAGCTAGTGCCATGGAATTCCACTACAGGTTTTTGGCAATCTCCTAGTTCAAACAGTATTAGCAGATCATGATGGGATGGAAGGGTGGGTTTGTTTCTTTTGGTTTTTAAAATCATTGTAATCCAAAAGACGTGTTTCAAGTAATAGACCAGTAGTTTCATGTTGCTACAACTCACAGTAAAGACCAGGTTTGAACTGTTTCAGGAGAAAGTGTTGAAAAATGAAACGAAGACAGCCACAACTTACCCACTCAGGAAAAAGCACAAGAATCACATGACATCATTACCTGCAGTTTGTTATTTTACATGTAATGTCAAAAGGTTCTTCCAAATTTACAGTGTCTGGTATTGTCTCCAAGGAAAGCCTTACATCACCATAACCAGGAGCCTGAGAAGGTAAAAGAACACATTCTCAGATGCTGGATAGTAAAATTGAATTTTTTACCACTCAATTTTTCTTTTACTGCAACAAGCTTAGAATAAGATGAATTTGAAGAAAGATCAATTTTTCATGCTTTTGATTTGTACTCAAATTACAGCAGTGCTTATCCACTACCAAGGACTACCTTCTGGATAGGTTTAACAATTCATCAGACAAGGATGATCTGTCCAGTTTACTTATCGGAAATGATTCACATTTTATGACTTTTATAACTTTTCCAGATAGTTCACATCCTTGAAGTTTAACTACCCATATAAAGCTGATCTTCCCAGGAACTGTATTTTAAGACTTTTGTGTCAGACAGGTAACAGATACTATGGACAATGTAAGTATAGTTTTCCTTTGTAAACCTACCACTACCCCACATCCTAAGAAATAAAAGATCATTCATTCTCCTTACCATTTCAGTCATCCAAGCCTCTGCCAAAATAATACGTGCCACCAATTAGAAAGGCACGATAGGAACACTTGTCAACTATCCCAGTTCTGTCAAGAACCAAACACATTTCATATGGTCTGCTAAGAAACCTATGATAAATGTCCTAGTTACTACTAACCAGGGCTGGTCCAAGATGGTAACCTGCATATAAAAAGTTTTAGATTTTCAATCCCCACAAATTATAGAACCTAAGGAAAAAACAAGCTGAAAATTTTTCCTGCCTGACAAGGCATAGTTGTGACACGTTTCTGCTAATAGAAGGATGCTGTAGTAGAAGTTACATTTACAGATCAAGTAAAAGATACACCCAGAGGTCCAGAAAGCCAGTGACTGACAGGTTGGGAACAGGTTTTAGTGAAACATACTTAATTACAGACTGTAGACAAGTGACATTTTAGAAAGCATATTAAATTGGACATTAGTGTGAGCAAAAGTATGACAAACCTAAGGGAGATTTCCAATCAAATGAGCAACATAAGTTTGGAACCTTTCAAGAACAGAAAGTAACTAGCCAGCACTGGAAAAAGGCACACATTTTCAGCTGTACCACGTGACAGGAAGGAATCTACTGAAAAATTATACCCAGTTCCCTAAATGACAGGTAGTTTGCCATAACATTAGACTCTGAAGAGAGATACATTAAGAAAAAAAAAACCCAAACAATAAAAGCAGTATTTTATTACCAGCAATTGACCAAATCAAGACAGGATCAGAGCAAATGAGAAGGCCTAAACCAGCACATACCTGTTGGCCTTAATGAGGTATCTGCAAGAACTGATGGCTAGAGTGAAAGGCTTTACAGTAACACCAAAGGGAGGAACATAGTTTTCATCCAAAAATGAGATAATTGCTCAGAGTATAGCATCAACTAGACAATTTCTCGCTTGTGCTACTCAAGAACAGTGCTCTTTAACTTCAGATTCATTCTAGTCTAGTCCCGGATTGAATGCCCGTGAGCAGGTAGAGCACCCCTGGCATATTGTGGGCATACATCTGTCCGGTTTAACATCACCCAAGAAAGAATGTAGTTGTGAATTCCAAGACTACTCCACAAAAAAAACCAAAATTATGGTATTTGGGTGTTATCAAGGATACTTGTTTCAAAAGTACATTCCTGATCTGAATCAAAACAATGACTGAGGGGCACAGTACAGGTAAAATTCTGGCCCTGTGGGGAAAGAATGGTTATAGAGCTAGTAAATGGATTAGGAGGAAAATGTTGGAAGGTGAAAGGAGCCTAGAAATGAAATAATCTGATAGCACTGAAAAGAGGAGAAGACAAGAGGGAGTTGTATCACAACTTGAAGAAGAAAAAAAAACCCCACAAAAACTGCTGCTTTTCCAAAGATGTTGCTCAAAGTACACAAAATAGCTCATACTCCTCTGTTAATCAGAAAACAATGACAGATGACTAAAACTAATCCTGGAGTGTGAAGGTATGTTAGTCACCACTGTGTATCAACTGCAATTCTCCAAGGTTCAAGAGGGGATGCAGGTTGAGAGAATACTGATTTAGGGAGAGAAAAAAAAAAATCTGCCTTTAAAGAGAAATGATAGAAAAGGTCAGATGAAAATGAGACAGTTTTAACTTAAAAAACAAGCAACAAGATTCAAAGTAACAGAAGTAACTAAGTTTAGAAAAAAAGGGCAGCTTATAATTTGATGGGGTTATACATATCCTTAACACCTCAATTAAAAACAAAGAAGTTTTAGTGACTTAGCTGTGAATTTCCAGGATCCAAGTTTGCTTGCCTAATTCCAAGTCAATGTGATTTTCCTACAGAATTGCTTGATTTACTAGATGATGGGGGCAGAGACAGAAGCCGAAACCCAATTACAAGCATTGTAAACTCAGACTGATTCCATTGTCAAAGCTTTTTTACTTCTCTCTCATACCATCCTCAAGTCAAAAGATGTAAGTCAAGTGTAGGCATTAGACTAGACAGGCTGTGGAGCTCACTTAAGCCAGCAATTACAACTTAAAATTCAGGAGCAATTTATAAATCAACCAGAACAAATTCAATCAAAACTGTGGACACGAAAGATAAGTAGTATTATCCTATACATAAAAATTGTTACTCAAAGAAGCCAAAACGTCTGTATGAGTTAGGGAGCACACTTCTGTGTCAACATCTGGCACACTTAAAGGAGTTCTTTTGTCAGTGCTTTTCAGTTTGTTGCCAAACAGCATCCAGGTTAATTTTATTGTAACCAGTGTATTTGCTATATAGGTTGCTCAATTCTGGCAATTCAAGTGCACAATCCATTAAGTTATATTGTTCAGTGCTGTGAAAAAAGAAAGAACCATGTTATAGGCCAGAAAACAGAACCTCAAGAAAACAAAAGATGTTGCCATTCACATGACCAAAAGGAACAAGAATGTTTATGTTCAGCTGCAGTCCCTTGGAAGTGCTTTTTCCACACTTCACTGACCAAATGTATTAAATAACTTTCTCGAATACATACAGAAACACATGTATTCAGAATGAGTTCTGGAAAGTAAGCAGCTTAAACTTCTCCTTCAAGTTATTATTAAATTGTTCACTGAGTTGCCTTAAAAATGGATGCTAAGTTAAATTGATGCTTAAGTTAAACTTACCATTCTTTGGAGCTGGCTAGTTTGCAGCCTTCCTCGTTCACCCAGATTAGTTTTCCATACAATGTCTAATTTACCAATCACTGTTACACCTTTAATTACTCCAGCTTTCTCTGCAAATTCTTGCTTTGGTTTTAGGCAGTATAAGTATTGACGTGTATCCATAGGTTGTAAGTAAGTCCTTGAGCCAAAAGTAGACTCACTAAAAGAAGAAAACATTGGGTCTTAATTTAAACAGTTATTTTTAAGACGACTGAAGAACCCAACCTTTTTTCTCCATCCCTCACCAGTCTTACTGTGTATTTTATTCATGGCAAAACACATAGACTATTTTTTTCACAACAGAAAACAATTCTAGAATTTATGTAGCATCAAGGAACAAGGGGGAAAAAAAACAATGCATCTGAGCCAGAAAGAACTAAGGTGAAAATCCACTTTGCTACATTATAATTTGTTATCTGGCATCTTAGCATTTAAACAACAATACTGGTAATGTTACTTCTGCTATTTGGTTCCCTCCCAGTAAATCTGGGTCATAAGCCTAAAATTCCCATTCAGGACAAGAACTGTCACAGCAGATGCAAACACTTTGTAAGAAAAATGCTCCACTATGCTGCAGGTGAACCCTTTGACAGCAAGGAGAAGACAGAATTTTTCACTTCAGCTCCCATTGCAGAAGCACCCAAACATCACCTCCTCCAAAAACCCAAGCAACTGCAAAGCACAAACAGGCAAAATTAACTTCTACCCAGGTATCACAAACTTCTGTAAGCACAACAGTTTACTGAACACAGTAGACATTCTGGTATTTGGTGTTTTACTAATTAACACTAAATGACATTTATTTATTTCAGCATGACAGATTTTTGTATTTCATGATCCTATAAGGGTGTTTAAGGGTGTTCCACTGATTCACCTTGACTGCTGCCTTGATAGATCTTGATCGGAACAAATGAAAACAGTTACCAGTCTACTAGACGGAAGCAGGAAGTCAGATGGGTCCTGTAAGGCTAAATATGTATGCACAGATAAGTCACAACCAGATGGGGGCTCAATTTTATATGGGAAATACTGAAAAAGTATGTTTCATGTTATCATGTAATAAATGTTACCAATTATTTGGAGAGTAAGCTGGGGATTTCTCTACTAGGTAGAATTACAATGTTTTAAGAATAGTATCTATAAAAAGAAAACTAACAGCTTTTCCAGCTGAATACATAAAAGGAATTTGATCTCTTTAATCAAGCCAAGTACAATCCTTCTGTTACAGACAACTCACTAACTGTAATGCTTATGCCTCATGAAATCATAATACAGTGTTTCAAAGTCAAATATCCCAAATGTGAACATACCTTTCCCCTGCTGTGTCAACTGTGTTCAGTTCTGCAACGTTGTACATCATAGATGGCTCTAAAGACACCTTCTCCATAAACATTGGAGAGGTAGTGATATTCTGAATCTGAGCTTCCAGAAACACTTCATCTGTCTGAAAAAAAACAAAAGTGCAAGTTTATGAAAATGTGATTAGTGTTATTAAAAAAGAGTAGACAGTCCTATTGTTAAAAAAGTCATATGTGTTTAGTTCATGCCTGCAAATCAAATTAAAGTAATTAATGCAAGAAAAAAACCTTAATCCCAGTAACAACAGGAGCAAAAGTGTTAGTCAACAGATATCTTGCCAAACAATGGATGTGGGATAATTTCACTATGCTCTGGCTATTGCTTATTTGTAACGCATTAGATCACCACTTCCCAAGTCTTTCATCAACTCAACAGCAACTCAAGTTTTAATCCAAATTTTTAAAAAAGAAAAAATAGAATAAATGGTAAGGAATTGCAGTGCACAACAACATGCCATGCCAGATTACTAGTGCATCGAGATGTATAAAAAAATTGAAATAAGTGTTTGTTTAACTGAAATAAAATCAGGTACATGCTGTGAGATTTTATTCTGAAACACTGATGTACTGGCTAAAAAGCAAAAACCAGTCTCCTCTCTCCCAGCTGCATCATGCCAATGGTTACCAATATTATATGCACCCAAAAATTTAACTGATGCTCTACCCTCAAAACATCCTGTAAGACACATCTGTTAGATAAAGCTTGTGCCTGAAGGTGGTATATAAAGACCAATTCTAGTACAGGAATGAAAGATAGAGACTATTAAATTTCAGAAACTAAAAAAAAACTAGAGGTGTTTGCCTCACTGCCTCTGTGGAACTGCGGACCAGTGAAGTCACTTTGCAGTTCTAAAATTTCAGGATAGAATAATTACAGAAGGCTCAGTCTACTAGAGATACAAGCCCCTGGAGAAATGAACAACAAAACCAAAGAAATGCCAATTAAAAAAAGGGTGCATGCACACCAAATCTGCATTTACAAGAGAGTTACTGATTCAGGCAATTGGACTAGATGGTCTTTGTAGGTCCCTTCCAACTGAAATATTCTATTCTGCAAGTTCAGTATGAAGCAGTTTAGGTATTTTGTTATGATAAATTTTTTAAAAAGTGTTTTTATGGCGAAGGTAGAAGGAAGCTTAATTTCTTTTTAATTGGTGTAAAAAAAATGACTTCATTATACAAATGGAGTCCTGCTTGTAAGTCACAAAACAAAAGCAGGACAAAATAGTAAAAATATTTTTGGTCTCAAAAAGCACTGTATTAGGAGAAATAGGGAATGGTACAGGGAATGGTACTGGAACTGTTTGTTGTGCCTGATAAACACATTAAACACAAACCAGCTGATAGCATATATATAGTAATGAAAACTGTGCAAGCCCCATGGGTTAGAGACAGACCTCACACTTGCAGAAGGAGCTGGAAGTAACCCCAACTAAACCATGTCTCTCAGTAATCATTACTACTACTACCTGTCACTTGATTGCTACTGTTTATATCCCATAAATCCATTGCTCAAAGTGTCCATTTACCCAAATTTTAGTTGTTTTCAATGCAGCAACCATAAGCAGAGATTTAGAAAAAGCTAATTTGAAAGGGAAAAGAAAAACCAAGCAGCATAATGAAAAAGCAAGTTAGTTTTGTGTTATTCCTAAATTGCTTTAATACCACATGGTTTAAAAAAAGATAATCCTTAAGTACTTCAAAATAATGCAGTTTATGTTAATACAAGCCACATCTTAAAGTGAAACTAGACTGCAGAAGTATCATACTAACTCATCAACTATCACATGCAGTTAGAAGTTGGAAAGTGCAGTTCCAGCTAGTGAAAGGAAGGAAGAACATCCAATTGCTGCTCTCTCCTCAAACCCACTGTCTCCACCAACCAGACATGAAAAGTTCTGTCACAGCTTAGACAAGCAGTGTGGTAGTAAAACCTACATTTCTATGTGTCAAAAGCAGGAAATTTTTAGTAGGGATTAACTCCTGTTTTCAGCTAATGAATCTAGTCAAATTTTAGTGAGGTATTTTATAAAAGGACCCCCACAAGCAAGAGTCTGTAATAATCAACTTGTAGTTTCAACAATGGGTATTAAAGAAAGAGCTAACCATTTAAATGATTAGCTGCACATATAAAGATGAGAAGACATCAGTTCATGATAGGCAGAACAAACATTGCTTTTCCATTATGTTTTTAAAAGAACGTCAACAAGCACAGATACAGATAGGCAATTAAAAAAGCATACACATTTATAAAAAAATAAATAAAATTACCACAGAACTGAGGTCACTCTAATGGGAAAATAAAAAAAGAACACATTAGAGAAATTAGGGTTAAATGTTAAAGAAAAAGGAGGCTAACTTTCAAACAAAATGCATTTCTGCATTTTTTTTGCACCATCTAAACAAGATAGCATTAGTAAGACAGAAACATAAATAAAAATGGATGCAAACAAGGATGACATCTGCATTTCTAATAAGTTATAGCTAGTATGTTTACATGGTTTACTAGCTTTGCTTCAGAACCAACCCAAAGTAGAACCTAAGGCACAGAAGTCACAGATAAGATATGGTAGAACAAACTGACCCCAAAAAAAAGGAGTTAGTTTTTGAGTAAGTTTAAAGTTTGTACTGAATTTAAATCCATGCAATGAGTTGTACATGAAATGGAAAAACAGTCCTTGTCATTTTACAAATAATTTGACGTATCCACATATATAAGGTCTTGAAATAAAAATAATGTGGTAATTCATTCTAGCAAAGCTACAATACTGCAGCTTATAAAAAATTTTGCATAATACAATCAGGAAAAACTCATTTCTGAATATCCATCATTCCAAAACCCAACTTTAATTGCAAACTTTGTTTTCTTAAGTGTCTGCATATTTATCTCCATATGAATGTTTGCAGGAACAGAACCTTTTACAGAGCCTTTTCCAGGGGACAACAAAGTCAGTGACAGACTTTCTATAGACTGGGGCAGGTAATTCAATCTCAGGACTGCAGCAGGTTAGGGCGACAGGGCATGCATTCTATGCACGAATTTCAGCAATCAACTTGATTTGGATGCTACTGCAATACAAGCAACAAGCAAGAAAATTAAGGTTCAGCGTCATTCCTTGTCTTAAAAAAACTGAAATTATGGATTATAATTTCTTGTAGAAAATAATTTTAGTGACAGATTTTATGGATAGTATGGCATCCATGATATTAATGGTAACAGTTTAACTAGTTAGTCAACTTTTAAAGACCCTTAGTTAACTAATAACTGACACATACCGATTTTTTTTTTCTCCCCTGCCGCCAAGGATAACAGTCTTCCCTAATATTCAGGTCTTTGTGCTTTGACAGTAATGTAGTATCACATACAACATCTAACCAATGGCTTCTTTCTAGGTTTTTAAATTTTATTTGACTTCTGTGATCAGAACACATAGCAGCACTTCATATACTTTCAGAAATTATATGTAGAATCATAGAATAGTTTGGGTTTAAAGGGACCTTTAAAGGACATCTAGTCCAACCCCTCTTCAATCACCAGGGACATTCCCAGCTAAATCAGGTTGCTCAGAGCCCTGTCCAACCTGACCTGGAATGTTTCCAGGGATGAGGCATCTACCACCTCTCTGGGCAACCTGTGACAGTGTTCCGTTACCCTCAGTGTGAAAAGTTTCTTCCTTAGATCTAGTCCAAATCTACCCTCTTTTAGTTTAAAGCCATGACCCCTCATCCTGTCAGAACAGGCCCTGCTAAAAAGTTTGTTCCCATCTTTCTTCTAAGCTGCTTTAAGGCCTGAAAGGCTGCCATAAGGTCTCCCTGGAGCCTTCTCTTCTCCAGGCTGAACCACCCCAACTCTCTCAGCCTGTCCTCACAGGAGAGGTGTTCCATCCCTTGGATCCTTTTGGTGGCCCTCCTCTGGACCCTCTCCAACAGGTCCATGACTTTCCTGTGCTGAGGGCTCCACAGCTGGATGCAGGACTCCAGGTAGGATCTCAGAAGAGTGGAGTAGAGGAGGAGAATCCCCTCCCTCAACCTGCTGGCCACCCTTCTTTGGATGCAGCCCAGGACAGGGTTGGCCTTCTGGGCTGTGGGCACACATTGCCGGCTCATGTCTAGCTTTTCAACCACCAGTACCCCCAAGTCCTTCTCAGCAGGGCTGCTCTCAATCCCTTCATCCCCCAGCCTGTACTGATACAGGGGGTTGCCCCAACGCAGGTGCAGGAGCCTGCATTTGGCCTTGCTGAGCCTCATGAGGTTCACACAGGCCATTCTTGTCCAGATCTCTCTTGATAGCATCCTGTCCCTCAGGTGTGTCATCTGCAACATTCAGCTTGGTGTCATCTGCAAACTTGCTGAGGGTTCACTTAATCCCACTGTCTATGTCATCAATGAAGGTATTAAAGAGTACTCATTCCAATACAGACCCATGAGGGACACCACTCACAGATCTCCATCTGGACATTGAGCTATTAACCACTGCCTTCTGGATGTGACCATCCAATCAATTCCTCATCCACCCAACAATCCACCTCTCTACAATTTAGAGAAAAGGATGTTGTTGGAGACCACGTCAAAGGCCTTACAGAAGTCCAGGTAGACAACATCCATAGCTCTTCCCTTGTCCACTTGATGTGGTCACTCTATCGTAGAAGGCCACTAGGTTGGTCAGGCAGGACGTGCCCTTGGTGAAGCCATGCTGGCTGTCTCAAATCACTTCCCTATCCTCCATGTGCCTTAGCATAGCTTCTACAAGGATCTGTTCCATGATCTTCCCAGGCATAGAGGGGAGGCTGATGGGTTGGTAGTTCCCAGGGTCCTCCCTGCTATGCTTTTTAACAAAGGGTGCAATGTTTCCTTTTCTCCAGTCTGCAGGGACTTCATCTGACTGCCACGACTTTTCAAATATCATGGAGAGTGGCTTGGCAACTACATTGGCCAATTTCCCTCAGGACTCATCAGGTCCCATAGACTTGGGTATGTCCAGGTTCCTCAGGTGCTTTCAAACCTCACCTTCTTTTACAGTGGGAAGGACTTATATGAGTGGTACTACATCAGTTTGTTAGGTAAATTGTTCAGTTAATATAATCCAAAAATCTTTGAAAAAATTTTTTAATCAATCATATGGATACTATGGTAATGGGAGTTGCATAAATTCCCAAACAGGAAGAACAAAAGGCAAAGGAGGATTTCAAAACCTTTACAGAGAAAAAAGAAAGCCAAAGCCAAAAAAACCACAAATACAAGCTGAGACACCAAAGGTTCTCATAGATCTTTATCATGAGGGATTGGTGGCTATTGAGGAATCCAATTGAGGAATGGAGTTTAAGTCCTTTATCAAGGCCAGTAGTAAAACAATTTTTCTTAGAAAACAACACTTTTGACCTATGTCAAAAGTTTGCCCAGAATTTATGTTAGAGGTTTTTACTTCTATTCATTATGAATTGTTTCAGCACAAAACAAGGTTTATACATGAAGTATAGACAGACAGCAACATTTAATATAAGATTTCTCTTCCCCTATCTGAAACAATAATACAGTCCACGCACAAAATGGAGGTTTATTTTGTTGCCACAGGAATTACCTAGTTTAAGATTATTTTTATTCTTAAGTCACAGCAGTAGACATTTCCAGACATTCTCATTTGTGGATAACACCAGTTCTATAAAGCACCAGTTGTATGTGATTATGTTCTGACCCTACTCAGGTATTTCACACCTGGTCAGCCTAAGGATTAAAGCCTGTGGCCTAGATACATGTACCAAGATATCTTTATGAAAATGTTTTTTTCTTTTCCTCTGTACTATGATATTTAAATCACTTGACTTATGCCTTGATTACCCTCCCTCTAAATAAATTACACACTATGTATTAAATGTCTCATAATTTACATCCTATTAGTCCAAAGCAGAGAGAAAAACCTTTATGTGACATTTCCTGCACAACTCTAAACAAGACAGATATTTGCACCTGGAACCCTCATTTGCAGAGCAGAAATTCTTATCTGTTATTTCTCCCTTCTGTTTTCTCTATTGATACTGTCAGAAAGGGACAAAAATATACCTTTCACACCTCTATAGCCATAATTTTGCATGAGGAACCCCAGGTGTGACTATGATGGAGATAAATAATTAGAACGATAGGTTTGGAGACTCTCTGCTTTTCTACATGCAAATTCATAGCACATATCTACTTAGTTAAGAACAAACAGGAGAGCAAAACATTTTCCACTTATCACAAGTTATTTTTCACATTGCCAAAATTCCATATGTTTTCTTCTCCTCTCACTGACACCTTGGTCTTTTTTCTCCCATCTACTATTCAGGGCAACATAGAACATCTACAACTGCACTCTATCTTTTAAACCTTTTCAAACAAACTGTTTAAGAATACTAATTAAGGTTTTCAACCAAATGAAGAGCAGTGTACTAGTTCACCATATTTCAGGGGTTATGGAAAAAGTTTAATACTCAAAATGGAAGCTCTCTAAGTCCTTTGGAAGTATCAGTATGAACTTTGTACAAAGAGTACAGAATACAATGCTCACAAATTTAAGGTCCCTGCTTTGTGATAGTGAGCAATTAAGTGATAATGACAGAAACAAATGTCCTAACTTCCTATGTAATGAGATATTGTAAGTTTATACCTTACAACAGACCTATATAATACACATATCCATAGGGAATGTCTAGAAATAAAAAGAACACTATATAATTTGTAAGTTTCCACTATCTGTGTCACCTTCAGTTGAAATTCTTACCATAAATAGCCAAAGATAGATGCCTAAATATGCCCAAATAAATATACAAGGCATATATCAGGTCATTTAGTTTTGAAGCACTCTATATAACTGCCACAAACCTAAAAATTAATTTTAGGTAACCTAATTCAAGTTTCCTCAATGTAAATATGACCCCTCTGCTCAATAATTTAAATCTAAATTTCCCCAGTCTGGTAAATTATTACCTGCTTTGTGAACAAATAATCTCCCTTACAGTAAATACTCTATCAGCCTAAATATACAAGCAATAATTGAAAGTATTTTGAGTTCATGGGAAAGCAGAAGATACGCAAAATTGTCAGGACCTTAATGCAATTGACTGACATGTCTGCCTAGTTACCATCTCTTTCCCCACTTCATCAAAAGTACATCTATTTTTAAACTAAATTATATAAACCCATCACTTATTTTTATCTTTAGAACAAATTATCCTTCTCAGAAACATGTGTATTTAAGAATCTCTTTCAATTTAATCTAACCACCTAATGTGAAGTAATACACCCAGTACACCAAAACAAACCCAAATACATACAGGTCTCACTTACCTCAGCATTGTAGAATTTCGTTTTCACATCTAGTGGCTTAAGAACCTGTATGAAACGGAAAACAAACAGATTGTCAATTGGTTTCTCAGACACCTTTAGCATAAACTGTTTAAGTCCTAGGACCTTTACTAAATTGTTATTTTTCTTTTTGATATTATATAGAACAGGCACATAATTGAATATATGATACAATCAGCTCAGCTAAAACCTCATTATTCAGAGTATATATTTGCTGCTTCTTATTTGCATGCTTGACTGGTTTGCCATTAAACAGTTTTCTCAGAGTGAAAAATAATTCTCCACTTAAGCACTGGCTTTAGGAAACCAGACAAATCCAGTGCACTAAGTATATCTATGTCTTTAAAACAACATTACATCCATCTTGTATCCTGAAGTGGCCTGCACTTGCTTTCAAATCTGAGCAAGAACCATGTAACATTTACAAGTCTTTCAGTGTTGTGCAACAAACAAAAGTTGCTCCAGGCTTCTAAAAATGAAAGAAATAGAACTATTGATGTGATTAGCTTAACCAACGAACCATTACTAGGCTCCACTTCCTTCTTGAAAATGCAACTGTTGCAAGAAATGAAAAAGTCTATAAATCATGGCATTAAATCAGTAAAACAATTTGATGATACAAAAGGTGATAATAAAGTGTTAGTTCTTAAGTGCTTGAATTTTGTGCATAAAGCCACTACAGTTAACACATTCAAAAATGAAATGGATATACACTGACGTAACTGGGAGAAATAATCTTCTGTTATACTTGTAAGGAAACAAATTTAAATTATATCCTGAAGACATTTATTTCCCTTTATGCAGGGACACTTTTATTTTATTTACATAAGTATACTGCATCCAAAGACAACCCTGAAGTTCCAAGTTGTGAATAAATTCTTTAGCCCTGAAGAATTCAAGATTAAAAAGTAGTCTTCACAAAGATTTCTGCATGGTTGAAAAAGAAGCTGTTTAACACCAACTATAATACTGGTTCAACATAAAAGATCCTAGAAAACATAACTGAAAAAACTGAGAATCTGTCAAAGAGAAAATGTGGTTTTTTGTTATAAAATAGCTGGTGGCATCTCAATCACTAGCAGCCATTAATTCCCATTGTAAAGACATTGTTCAGTTTTCTGAAATGTTTTTTTTTTCCCCTCTTCAGACTTTCTAACACATGTCTCCATGTCATATTCAAAAAATAACAACCAAAATTGCTCCGTGAAGTGTTTTTCTCATAATGAATCAAAGAGTATTTACAGAATGCTGTTAAAGTGTATATATACTTTTTGAGAAGCTCTTATGCTTCCTTCCTTGAAGGAAGAGCTTCAAGTTTGAACAGATAGTTGACCTTAGCTATTTTGACATTAAAGCTGCCTGTATTGGATTCAGTCAAAAAAATAGAAATTACAATATGCATGTAGACACCTCAAAAATGTGCACAAATGTCCTGGTTTCAGCTGGGATAGAGTTAATTTTCTTCCCAATAGCCAGTATAATGCTCTTTGCTGAATCTGGGGTGAAAATAATGTTGATTTTTTCAGTTGTTGCTAAGCAGTCCAAGAGTGTTCAGCTTCTTGTGCTGGCCTGACAGCAAGAAGGCTGGAGGTGTCAGGGAAGCTGGGAGGGGACACAGTCAGGACAGCTGACCCAGGCTGGCCAAAGGGATATTCCATACCATATGATGTCAGGCTCAGTATATAAACTGGGGGAGTTGTCCGGGAAGGGCCACTGCTCAGGAACTGGCTGGGCATCAGTCAGCAGGTGGTGAGCAATAGCATTGTGCATCACTTAATTTGTATATCCTTTCACTATTATTATTTTTTTCCTTCCTCTTCTATCCTATTAAACCATCTATCTCAACCCACAAATTTTACTCTTTTTCCCCTCAGTGCCTCCCCCATCCCACTGGGGCAGGAACTGAGCAAACAGCTGGGTGGTGTTTAGCTGCCTGCCACATTAAACCACAACAACAAATAAGTTGCCATATCAAATCTAAAGGAGACAAATCGACATCTTCAACAAGGCTCTGGCAAGAACAAGGGCAGGGAAGGGAGAGGAGATGAGAACTGGAAGCCTGTAGATGGGTACATTAGTCATCAGAAAAAGCAACAGAGGCACCAGAGGGACCAAATACTGAATTCATGGGGAAAAAAGAATGGAGAAATTCAAAGGGAAAGTTTCACAAGGACAGCAAGACAAAACAAAGATGAAAATCAGCTTCAATAAAGGTGAAGAAACACTTCATAGTTTCTGGGTTCAGAGGAGAGTGTAACACGAAAATTGATATGGACTGACTTTCCCTAGGATTGTCTGGAAACACCTTTGACTAATCAATACCTGCCATTTCAAGTCCACAAGTACTAACATCATTTGGGTGTTCTTTGTCTGCAGCACATGGCAATTTAGCCTTCTAGAGACTGAAATGCTTTTTTCTGAAGTATCTAGATGGAATACTAGAAAAGAGCAAAATGAAGTCACCTGCAACTTGCAAAAGATATGGGTCTCAATTATGTAAAAGCTCCTGTATTGCTAGACACTCTGTGAGAGTATCTAAAAATGTGTTCAGTAAACCATGTCACCTAATCCTCAATTCTATGAGAGGGAGCAAACAATTATCCAAGTCTCAGCATATTTCTCTAAAAAAATAAACATCCATTAAATACACAGCTCAAATAGACTCTTTCCTGACAGAACCAGTCCACAGGTAACAGTAATTTCCTGCTGTCCTCAGTTACTCTAATCTCAAGTCTTGAAATTTGTGCGGTGGAACAAAGTTATCTATCAATTACTTCTGTGGATATTAGTCAGATATAACGCATTAGACTTCTTCGCTTAGTTTCCTATAAAAACAAGCTGCTACATTCTAATTTAGAATAAAAGAAAAATCTTACAATCTAAACTCAAAGGTTAGATGTGTCAGAATGAACAATACTTGTTCTGTTTAAAAATAATCATAAAGCTGTCTGCTATGAAAAGTTTTTTTAATGAGTAGATTTTTCTTTCTCAATAATTGAATAAAAATAAGATGCAATATTAGTATTTCTGAAATGTTTAACTGCATGATAATTAGAAACCATCAGTTCATGTGAAGTTTGAAGAGGCAGTTCACTTTTAAAAGGCAAACATATTTTTAGTATGTAAAGGTGCTTTTGAAGTATCAGATTTTTAAAATGGGTTTTCAAGATTCGCTTACTAGAAGTAGAGAATACTTCATGCAATACCTGAAATTTGAAGAACTTTCTGAAGTACATCTTCTCTCCTGTCTGTGTAGTGTAACTTACTGCACAAACTAAGCTGAAAGAAACAAATTTTTAAAAAATAGTTTTTAATTACTTAATTTTATGCCTATATCAAAGCAGCAACAGAATAGCACGCATGTTTCATTTAAGCTCATTTAATCATAGAAAAATATAAAACGTTACATGTGTGTTCCTATCTCCTTTACTTCATGATGGATCACATCATCAATGCAACAGTCAGGTTTAAGTTCTGCCACTGCAGCACTAGAAGCTGAAAGGTTCAAGCGCTGAGAACTTGTCTGAAGATCAGCCTGGGGACAGAAAAACAAAGCATTGGTTAGAACTGCAGCTGCTTAGATCCATCTAAAGAAAAATAACTGATGTTATAAAGTTCTAGGTTTCACTGAGTATTTGGTACCCTACATGCTTTTATACATATAATCTAACCAAGATATGTTAAGATGATGAGATACTTGTCAAAGCTAAAGACAAGTTCTAAAATATATATAAATGGTCCAATCCTTCAACATGCAGCTTATAAAATCTCTATTTACTTTTTACATTGAGTTAGACAATGACTTCTGGAGTTTCTATTCTCAATGTAGTATTTGCCCAGCAGAAAATAAAAACATATGCACTAGAGAAGAACTCATTTGAAATATAAGCAAAATAGAAGTAAATGCATGCTTTACAGAAACTTCCTTTGATGCCCTCGTTGAAAGTGCAAGTAAGCAAATATAACTCCAATTTTTTTAGCTGTGGAAGTTTTGGTACACCAGTTCTCCAGAGAAGCTTTATAATATATCCATATTTTTAATACAATCCTACTTTTTCACTTTAATCTTTAAATATTTCTATCATAATTTCTAGTTTTATGTCTTATTGTTTCCAATTTCCAGCTATATTTTCTGGATTTGAAAAAGTGACAGGTATTTCCTAAAGTCTGTATGTTAGCATTAAACGCACAAGATATTGTCAGAAAACATACTCAACATTTTATTTTTTATAAATCCAGTAAGTAGGTTTATCTTCACATACCTTCACCAGTATGTCCTTGACAACTTGATTACTATCATTGTGTACACTAATGTAACTGGAAAACGTCTCTCCCAGAAATATATTTCTGGGTTTAAAAAGAAAAAAATGTTTAGTAACAGTTATTAAAAGAAACCAGAACATTTCACTGAAACCTCTTTAAGTTCTAATTAAAATGTATTGACAAACATGCACACACGTTTGCAGATCAAATCCTAAAAGTACATTGGCATTTTCACACCCATACTTCTAAATGTCATCCTTCTAAAATAAACAACTTCAAAAGAGACCAAACAAATCAGAATTTTTTTCTAGATAAAAATCTAAGATGAATAAGAACATGGCTTACAGTACCCATGAAAATCACTGCAGTAAACTCTGTTAGTATAAGATGTAGTTTATAGTAGTGGATTACATTAGAAATTCACCTACAGCTACAAATTTCTTTCCACTTTCAATCCTTATTACTGAGTCAGGCTACAGACAAGGAACACCACACAGCACACGTTTATACATTACATCACATTATAAATCAAGCCACAGATTATTTTTAAAAAAAACTAACATCTCATTGCATAATAATGATGTTCAAAAAGCAAGAAAAGTAATAAACACATTAGTGTTAAATGAATCCTAAACCTTGCATGTTACAGTTACAGTAATTAATTCTTACCCAAAGTTTTGAGGCAAAGTGAGCATTTCTCCTAACATCAAAGTTTCTGCTCCCTTTACAGTAGAAGGATCATCTTTCATGAGCTGGTTAAATAGATTACCTGTAGAAATATCAAATTGCCAATATCTAAGTATTCGCTACGTCTAAAGCTTGGTCTACATTTAAGTTATTTTATTTTCAACATACTTATTTTACAACCAACTTGTTTAGGGATGAAATACGTATCTATAGACTTGCCTATAAATTACAACTTACTTCCAAGCACTTGTGTCCAATGAATCATTCATTATACATATTGAAAGGTGCAATCTCAAAGGCATTGCTCAAATTAACACTGAACTTTAAGGGAAATTTTGCCCAAGTAAAGCACATTACATAACAGAACTAGTCAACCCCACTTACGTTCTTCCCCTGCTTGATTTGTATTTCCACACAACCCTCTTTTTTTGAATCTCTCCTTTGCATCTTTTATACTTGACTTCTAGACTGCAACTATTACTGGGGGACAACAAGGATTCCAGTTTATGACTGTACATCAAGCATAACACAATTCAAAAGTGGTGATTCTTGCAAAATCGTTTTCCATAGAACATACATATGTTGCTTCCAATTACCAGGGCATTTTCTCCAAGGTAAAGATAGTAACACCAAAATTTCTGCAATTACACATTTCTCTCACAACTGTCTTCCATTTTGTGTGTTAATTGCTCAGACTTTGAGGGCACATGTTTGCAGTATCATCACCATGCTTTCAAAGCTGTAGGACAAGAGTTGTATGGTGTACCATGGTATTATGCTATAGCCACTATCACTACCTGGTCATATGTACATGATAGTCAGTAGAAAATACATACCTGGCAAATCTCTTTCTTCACAAGTCACTGGAATATTAGTGAATAAAGTAGGTTTGGTTAGCCTCATCACTGAAAAAAAAAAATCAGAAAAACTATAGGTCAAGGAAAACAAGCATTTTTTAATTATTTTTTTTAAAGTATAATTTTGTCTTGCTCTCCTTCCACTAAAAAAACAACCACCACCAAATCTTAGCCTGAAAAAGGGTAGCACCCTTTTGGACCACCTGGTCATTTTTCCAATATAAGAAATTCCCTGCTACTCTTAGATCCAAGAGCACTCACTGGTAATGTCATTGCTCCCTCTTGCTTTATTCCCCTGGTGCACCAACATCCACTGCTTTCAGTCTTCTGTGTGAAAGGTCTTATACCTGATACTTGTTAACAGTGCTAAGTGCTTCGTGGACTTCAGAAGTCTACCAGTTTCTTTTTTTTTTTGTGGACACTTCTAGGCTAAGTGCCTGTTCTGTGATCCTCCTTGCTCTACAAATAGGACATAATGACCTAGTACAGACACTTTCAAACTCCAGGTTATTAGGAATTGCATTTACACCCTAATCTAAAACATATGCCAGATGGAGCTACAAGTATAAAAGCCTACACTATTTATACAACCACTTTTTCTTTTAGTTACAAACTTTAAACACAAACCAGCAAAACCACCACAAAAACCTCAGGAACACACACAAAAAAATACTTTGTCAATACTGACAAAATCAAAATCATTGAGATCTTGCTATTAAAAAAGTCTACTTCTAGTAAATGGTATTTTCAAAGGCTATTTTAATGCAGAATACTCAAAAGTACATTGTTTTTATTTGTATTACAGATTTAAGATGTTGCTGCTTAAAAGAATTCCTCCCTACTTATATAAACCAACAGCCCTAATCTTGCATGTAGCTTCTCAAAGCATTCACATGAAATGAAGCTGAGCATTTGTAACCTCAGGTGTTGAACCAACTATGTAAAAATCACTAATTTTTTTTTCTTCAAAACTTAGACATAAAATGATATCATTTCTGAAAACTAAAACAAAAAAAACAACGTATTTATCTTGGCTGCAACAAGTTGATCAACATTCTTGCACTGACACATGTATCGTGCTTTTATCTTATTGTACTTTTGTACATCTTGTATGTTCAGTCAGCATTTGCTATTTTCAGTTGTGTAAAACATTCAATTATTTCAATATACATTTGGGTGTGGTGTGCTGTATTAGTTCACAAGAACTTACACTACCATATAGCAGATCTATGCAAGTCAGCATCAACAGAAAATCATAGTTTTCACATGAAAAGGTAATACATTCTCTTTGCTATGATGAAAAGTTGAAAAAAAAGAGACCTCTGAAGGCTTAGAACCATGACATAAATAAAAAGTCCCAAAATACACAAAACAGTAAATCGAGAACCAGATTCAACATCAAAAGTGAGAAAGATAAATACTGAATTATGCATGCATAAGAACTAAACATTTCTTGAATAGTTCAAAATGAAAGTCTGGATTTCAGCTTGTACATCGGTGCTACCCAAGACTCTAATAATTCTGTAGAGAAACCAAATGTGGTGTTCCACTTTTTATTACATGATAGTTATGCAGCTGAGATGCTCACAGCTAACAGTACATGTATCATTATTTGCATACAAGCCAACCCAAAGAAGCAGAAAGCTGACAACTACCACTGAACAGTGAAACAGATCTCTCCTGTTTAGGAAGATATTTGTTTAGTCAGTATATTGAATAAATATAGTGGAAATATATTGTTGTCAGTTACCTAATTTTATTCACATCTCCAGTAAGCCCATATAAACTAGTACTTGCTGATTGCTTCTAAGGGAACAGCTACAGATCAAGTTTAGTCACATTTAAGACAATAAATAAACAAATAATCATGGAATGAAGTAAGAATCACAAATAAATTAAGATATGTAGTTATATGAAATAGGACTACTAAATGAATATTAGAAAATACTGTATCTTTGCAAGATGATCGCTCACCTCTAAGATCATCTACACAAAATACATTAAATAAAACTCAAAATCACACCTGCATTCTATTCCATTATATCTTTAAAAATGCTGACACACAAAGTAACTTTGTTACTATTAGTGCTGAGCTCAGAAAAATAATTTCCGTTAAATAGCTTGGCTATATAAACTTTACAACTAGTAATGACACTCAGTTACTCTAGACAACATTTTAGATCAGTTTTGCTAAGTGGTAATATTAACTGTCACAAACACCCTAAATGTCAATATTAGACTGTCTTAACATTCAGTCAGAGTTTATAAATACATATCAATGATCCAAACTGAGCAACATCCTTAATTTTAAACTATAAGAAGATACGTAATGCCTATAATAAAACATAATTATTCCAACTGTCAAAAGAAAAGTGTATGTAAGTCCAAGAGGATTTTATTTAAATTTTACACAGATGGACCTCTGTTATGCTTATGTGCACTTTTATTTAGAACGCTGTTAATGATAATCTAACTATCTTGAAATACCATTCCCTTACTTTCCCTGTTTTCATTTATTTTCCCCCCTTTTCCAGATGCCACAGACCTTGACCTCCAGCTACAGCAAAATTATCTGGAATTAGGAGGTGTGTCTAAGAGAAATACATACTATTGCAGTCATATTGAACCCAGTTTAACTGCTCTACTGACCCTCCAAACATTAAACTGAGCAGGGACAGTATGACCTTGAAATACTTTATTTTTTCAGGTGACAAAAATTCATGCTGAACTCAGCCTTTTATCACCACAAAATGCATTCAAACCCTTACAGACCTTTACCATCCATAATGACAACAAATAGAGGTTTACAGATAGAAGTCTGATTTCTTTATTTCCTGACCTGTATCTGGAAGTTACTGCTTTCTTTGTTCCCTAATATAATTAGAGACAAAAGACCAGAAACATCAGGGGGAAAAAAGTCTTATTATCAAAGTAATAAAACAGCAAATGCGAAGTTGTTCATTATTTTTCAGCAAACAACTTCCACTGAAACTTTCATTAGTATTTCTGGGAAAACATAGATAGCATTACTAAGGCAGTGTATACAGGCAATAGAAAATAAGTCTGTAATTCATGCAAGGGCTATGCCTTCATTAAAGTCCCCACACACCCTACTTTCAGGAAATAATCAGATCTTGCAAGTCTCAGTGTCAAAAATAATTACAGATCCTCATAGCGATTATAACAACTCACTTAAAAATATTTTTCCCCTCTCCTAATTTCAAAGAGGCACAAGTAAGGATGTACTTTGCTTGACTGAAAGCATAAATTTTATTATCTGACACAGCTTGCCATAATCATCTGGAATTTTTTTTCCTCCCTTTAGACCACTGAGGTAGAGAAGAGCTACAAAATGCAGTACTAAGCCAAACAGACACCTGCTAATCTTAATAGAACCATTCATAAGTCTCCTGGCAAAACAAAGTTAAATAAATACATTATTACTGTTTAAAAACTGTAGAAAAGTAATATTAAGTCTTTTTCCACTCAGTAATTCATCAGGTGTTCTAACATTTGTATATTCTAAGCTGCTTAAAAACTACAGTACTTCAGACAGCAATTTTATTATTAAAATCCACCTTACAATTATAAACTGAATATAATTCCAAATTTATGTACAAGCAAATTCATTTTATCAGTAAGGCTTAGCTTTTCCCTAAGAATATTTCTAACATATTCACAGTATAATATATCACAGAAAATCCATATCTGTCCCACAGATCTTTGGATAGTAGCATTGCAAGATGGCAATTCATTCTCCTTGATGAGTCTATTCAATTTTATCCAGATGTCCTCCAAATTCTGATTATTACAAATAGACTGTTCAATTGTCCACTTTCCTCTATAAAACGCATGCAGTTTTAGTCTTTCCAAATTATTTTGCAGTTCTTGAGATAAAGGAAGAATCTTTTCTTTAAGCTTAGGGCTCGGGAGAGAGACACTCCAAGACCTTTTCAATTTTTGTTTTTCATTAGTTGGTGGTTCTCCCTGATTCTCCAAGTCAAATGGTCTGTGAACAGTTTGTGCTTGGATTAAAGTCTGCCCATGTTTCATGTTAGACTGAAACTCAAGGAGATTTTTCGTGCAGTCATAATCAGGAGATCCTGTACCATATTCTGAATGTGTAGAAAGTTGTTTCAATTCTTCTGCTTCCTCACAAGAAATAACAGGTGGCTGCTTTTTTGGTTTGAGGGGAAGTCTGTAGAAATCATTCGGAAACCAGGGTGTAAATCTTGGTAACTGACGAATGGGAAACTCCTTCACTGCTGCTTCTGCCAATTTCTGCAGTTTTATTAGATCTCTCTGATGTGGTCGATAATGCAAGACCACTTCCATGCTTGTACAGTAGCAATCCAGTTATTCTTAAGAAAAGGAACAGTCTCTTGATTAGGATTCTCAAATCTAGACTGAAACATCTTATTTACAAGAATTTCCTTGCCCCATGCTGCAAAGATCAGTGGAAAACAGGACCTAAAGCAGAAGTATTATAAAAAAATAAGATACTACCATATTAAGAAAAACATTGCTAGGATATTTTACAAAAAAAACAACATTTAGTGGAAATAAGAGAGATATATATCAGAACATTCTACTTTATCCAGGCTGAACATTAGCAACTGTATCCCATCATTACCAGCATAACTTCAGCACACTGAACATTATCCATATGTACCCAGTTCACTCAACACTGTCCCTTGCAAGAGTATTATTTTACTGTCACTATCCCATACTTGCCATCTACCTGTCATTATTCCTGCTATATTGTTGTGATGCATCTTAAAAGACATACAATCACTACTGCCTATGTTCTCAAATTGACCAGATGGATCTATTTTTTTTAAAAGTATCTTCCTCCTACACTTCAACATTTTAAGCCAGGGCATATAAAGCAACTAGAAAACACGTGTGTGACAAAACCCCTTCCTGAAATAGTACTGACCGACACAGCAGTTTTTAAAGTCACAGGTTAAAGGGGAACTGCTATAGGCAAATTAAAGTTGTTTGCTTCCATTTCATATCAGAACTACACATTTAGTTTTAGTCTCA